ATCTCTTTCCCTTCTTTGAAGTAGATAATTTTCTCAAATATTTCAGTTGTATTCGTATATACATTCTATTATAGTCATCCGCTCCTATATGGTTGCCTCCCCCCGTTTTAGATTAATGATTCTTTAATATCTTATGTGTATTCTTATTCTTATGCTCACTTTATCCCCTTCGCTCGTTTTATATAGTAGTATTCCTTTTATAATTTCCTATTCCTCCCTAGGGTATAAGAAGTTTAATCTTTCATTTTACATAATTGTTATATTTTAATAGTACCGCATCGATTTCGAGTCTTCTTAAGAGAAAAATACTACAGATTAAGGCAGGTGTGAAAATCTTCCGTAATCATTTTTTCTTAATAGTACCCGGATAATTATTGAAACTATATTACAATAATATTGAGAAGGAATAATCACAGTTCACGACGTATTACTGTACTTACAATGTCACTTTGCCTATAAGAAGTGCTTCCTATATATAGGCACCCTCGATATGTTGAAACCCCTTCTAGTGATGGTATCCCTCGGTTTCTTATACAGCATGAGTAGCCTTAGGATTGGTATATGAGTATTCCTGGGATGGAATTATTTTACAAGCCAATGTATTGGTGAAATTGTATGATCTTTACAACTGCCATCCTCCTCATGGGATTCGACTCCCTAAACCTTTGTATTATCTTAAACAATTTCTCTCCTCACAAAGTACTGTTTTACATAGAATATTACCCTTGACACAGGCTTATTCTTTAAACAGTTGTTGTAAGGCCGATTCTTAGAGTTAATACAAATATACCGCAGGCATCTCCTATTTTCTATATATGTGTAACGCTTAGTGATTGGAACCTCTCCAAGAATATCGCTGCATCCACTCTATTATCTCTTAGTAAATATCTCTTTTTAAATTTTGGGGTGTCCTGCTCTAAATCTTGAGGACTCCACAATAGGGACTCTCTGGATTTTCCTACTGTTTATTCAGTTATACTCTAGAGAAATGTTCCCTTCTCAAATAGTTAATAATGGTCGGGAAAAATGTATTCCTTATATATTAGTCTCCCAAGGAAGTTTATATTCTTCGCCTCATTCTATTCTTCAGATAATAACACCCGTTGGCCTAACTCTTCCATATAAACGTATTCCAGTCATAGTCATAGAACCCGCACGATTATGTTCCTGATATCATGGTTCCCCATCGAGATGTTTTATCTTCAGCCAATAATAGTCTACAAATAAAAAAAACTGTAAAATAAGAACCTCGTGCAGAATAATATTCAGGAGACATGTATACAGTACACAAAATAATACTGGAGGTATAGACGCAGGGTCAATATAATAGGGCTGTATGCTAAGCGTACATTCTACAGGCCCGTAGTGCTGGGGGGAGCGATATTTCTTAAATAATACTACACATAAATCATTATTCCTCAATTATTCACGTTCTCCAATTAGTCGTATCTAAAACGCTATATTATGAGGCCTTCATATAAAAGCATTCCTGCGACACTGTACATTACAAAAAACATTTCCGCTAGAATCCTTGCATTGTCCATATGCAAGTATTTCTGCTTCTACTGTACTACTCTAGCAATAATACATTCGAGACAACTACAGCGCCTACACCTGCGGGTGATTAATGGCTTCCTCTTTTCTTTAGAATGTAGGCCTCAATTCTTCACATAATACTATTTCATAGAGATCTATACTCATCAATGACTGGTGTTGCTCAAAGAATAGGAACCGAAAGTTGGAACAAATAGCCCGCAATTGACACATTTTTGCATTTTCGATGGCCATATTGTAGGAGAATCCTTATCTTTCAAAGGACAATTCCTGAGAATATCCGTATCCCTCATACAATACTGTATTTTGAATATCATTGCACTCCACAGAATGCCACTTCTCATTTTCCTTGCTCTTTACTATCATATGAGTGCAGACACAATAATTTCTTTCAAATGAATGCGATACAAGCTCTGTGTTAGTTGTAAAATATTTTCCTTTCCTTACAATAACTAAATAACCGGTAAACCTATACAATATTATTCCTGATACATCTGTATTCGTTATTCGTATTTACATTTTAGACACATGTGTGCTGTCTATATCATCATACCTTTCCTATAATAATACGCCCAGTATATTCATCTACCTCTTACAATGGTGTCATTTATAGATTACCATCCTTGCCAGGGACAACGGATAAAGATAACGATACGGCCTGCATGTCCATACACTTTAAGTCATAGTAGTCCTTGTACAGTAGTATTCACTTTACAACGTTATCGCTAATATATCAATACTCCGCAAACATCCCCACTATTCACATAATAGTACTCTGGGAATGTTACCAGTGGGAGCGAATAAGTAATTCTCACCCAATACTATTTCACGCACATGTATACACTTTCTGTGAATGTATTCTCCTAATTTTGCAATCCCACACATTATACCTCTGTTAATATAATAACACTCCAGGGAGTGGTATGGATTCCGGAATATGGTGCTTTTCCTATAATAGAAGACTAAACGGTAGGCCATGAAGTTCCAAGCTTTTCAATAACTCTGGTCTTTCGATATCCAGAGTCGTAGCAAAGTTGTCCATTCCAAGACACAACACTAGGGAGACATCAGTACGCTCACAAGACAGCGCTGCAGATCATATGTACTCCTTATACAACTATCCTGCTAATAGAACAACACTCTGCAGATATCAGTATAGATCAACCATTAATACATTGATATAACAGTACTACGAGAATTTCCGCATTCGTCAAGAGGGGAAATGGGGGCACATGTATACTTCCTTGTCATCTACCCTTGTAGAATATGCATGCACTTCATAGAATATTACCCTACGAATAATGACACCCCTAGGAAATCAGTATTCTTGACACTATAATACGCTTAACATTATAGTGGCCCTGGCATAGCTATACTGTTTAGACAATATGATTCGAGGCCACCTGTCGGATCTGCAGAATCGCCCAAGTCATATCATCCAGCCATTAAACCAACATGACAAGCCTTCAAATAATGCTATTCCAAGGAGATTTGTACTCATCAGGAAAAACTATTCTGCACATAACATCAGTGTTCTTCAAGTAATCGTGCAATTCACACATTCATGTGTCCCACACAACTGTACCCTCCATACGGAGGTACTATGGCAACTTACAAACGTTGCGTAACGGTTGGCCATCCTTACACGGCACAGAGCGAAGTCATGAATTCTGCACCTCTCTTTACTTTACTTAATAATACGGGATTAACTTTGCCACTGATCAAAGGTCGTCCTACCAACCATATCAGGCATCTTTAGATATGAGTA